CTGTGGCTGGCAACCAGTGGCCTAGTGTGAAAGGGCCCTTACAGTCAAGTTAATATTCCGACGTATTACATAACCTAACTTAACATTATAACCTAACAAGTCACCTATGGAAGCTGCATTTAACTGACCTATTCCTAGTCTTGGCTTACATTTCTAGGTCTCGCATTAGCCAAACGAACAGTCTTAAAAGTAATGTTTTTTTTTACTTTGTTTAACCCAAACTTAATTTTTAAAGCAGAAAAGTGGACAAGTAGTTAGGCTATAATACTCGGCTTTTAATCGATAGGCGTTTATCCTTAGAGAGATTATTTTTGAAGCTTTTTTAGTAGCCAGTTAACATATCACAGAGGGCGGTTCATACTTGGCGGGGGGGGTAGAATTTTCATAACATCTTTTTCGGCTACTTTGGCAAGAATATAGTCATTGTATATCAGTGAGAATGGGTTAGAATTCTAGTTAATATAGTAAAGGATAGTATGCCGTTCGTCTCAGATTTTATCTACATCGCTGCAACAAAAGCTTGATATAGACCTAAATTTACGAACAGCCCTCAATTAAGGATTTAAGTCATCGGTTGGAATAGCAAGCCTCCAATTTAGACTACCTTACTTATATGTATTTAATGTTTTAAAAAAATAGAGAAAAAAGAACCTCAATGGTTTTTTACGGTCTTGGGTAATAATGTTAATGGACAAAGATGAACACAATCACTAAACAGATACTTCAAGTAGTCTACTATTATGGATCATACTCTTTCATTCCTCTACAAACATAGGGACCAGCTAAATACTCCACCATATTAAAAACCACAATTACTTACTGCATTTTTTTAAATTGAATTTTTTACTGTTAAAAATTGAAAAATATGCCTAAAATAAAAATAAACTAGGAATGATAGGTGTACCAGTACCACTCATTTCTAATTCATTACTGGGACTAAAAAATTAGCTCAGTCAGTAAAAATGAGCTGATCTCAGTCAGTGTCAAAGCTCCAGGCCATGTTTCAATTCTTAAACATTCACGCTGCATTTATACCTATTCGTCATAATAAACACCTTCCCAATATTTATATTCACTATTAATTCTTAATTTTCCCTTTCTGTAGATGTGACATGGCTGGATTGCTGAATGGTTAAAATGCTCGCCTAGCAATCAAAAGGTCACCGGTTTAATTCTGAGTAAAGTCAGTAGCTTTTTGATGGTTTAAAACCGGACCCAGCTGTCCCTGATCATTGGTCTCTAAATAAAATGATTCTGACTGATGAAACAGCTTATCTTAGTCAGTAGAAAAGCTACACAGATCATACACACCATTGGTTAAAATACGCACCTAGGTGGCGTCCCCATCTTAACTACAGTAATTGATAATTGATCGTTGACACTGACTTAACTAAGTGAGCATAATTTGTCATCATTAGCATTTTCAACCAACTTTTTTACTTAGGCATACTTCAAATGTAGGCTATCACTTTTGTGATAACAATTGAATTGAATTAAAAGACAAATGTGTAACACCGTTAAATTTAGGATCACATAGAATTTTGTCCTACAGACATTCACTAAGCTAAGGGTGCCGCCGCAGTCCCGAGCCCGTTCAGCAGTGTGCACGGTGATAGTTTTACTAAATGTTTTTGTCAGTGTCGTGTTTTTGTGTTTTTATGTTTACGTCAGACTATGTTTCTCAATGTAAAATATTTGACGCGGTTGCTACACCAACAATGCAACTAAGTATGGAATAACCTAGTGCAACCGCGGAGCAGAAGATGACCTAAAGGTTGAAACGTGCGTCCTCCATAGATATACTGGATTGATTGACGTAAGTTGTAATTATTAATTTAAACATCAATCCGTTTGCTACAAATCAATCATGATGCACTAAGCAGTTTGAGGCACCATGTACAGTGAAATCTTTTAGCCTACAGTATTTGATTTAGATTTATAGCTAGATAGTTCTGGTATTTGGCAAGTAGAATTACTAGATCTACTCATGTAACTGTGCCAATCAGCTACTATAAAGAAAATTGGTATTATGAATGCTAGAATATTACTGGAAGAGTATTTAACTACCAAGCGGAATTATAACATTTTGAAAGGAGATGGAGTACCGGTAACCCTGATTCAATGTTTTATCCTACAAATGCTAAAAACAATGTTCATCCTTAACTAAGCCATTAACGCACGTTTAAGTAAGGGTAGGCCTAGGAATAAGTTAATATGGGGTTTTCAGGGAAAGAGGTATTCCAGCGTCCAAGCTTTAGAGACGACGGTCCTTTATTGCGTACCGGCAAGTAAAATCTACAGCTTAAGGCGAGCTCCACACCGGCACAGAAAACGTACTACTATAACCCAGAATGCCAACCGCATGGAAAAAGCATTAAGTGTTTTGAGAGAGCTTTGCCTGTCAATCCGTAGGCAGCGCCACCAGCGTTGCTATGCTATTGCATGGCAACGCTGGTGGCGCTGCCTACCGATTGACAGGCAAAGCTCTCTCAAAACGCTTAATGCTTTTTACCATGCGGTTGGCATTCTGGGTTATATTAGTACGTTTTCTGTGACACCGGTGGGTAGTGGCATCAGGCCTATCACAATGCAAAAAGTTATTTAATGGTGATTTATCGAATTTAACCCCAGGACTTTAGTAGCCTACTGTAATATTATGTGCTAACTTAACGCCAAGTATAACGTCCCCATCCATGTTTAAAAAGATAACTTAGGAATATAACTTAGGATATAACATTGAATAAGTTACTGTAGGTAAGTTTAAATTTTCCAAGGGACTAGGGTAAATATGCATTTTAGGGTTTGCACGCGATTTTTGAAATTTTTTTTTCATTCTACTCGAAATTTAACGCTGATTCCGAAAATGACGTTCTTTTTCCGCGGAAAACGACCATAACGCGGAAAAACGACCAAAACGACCAAAAACTCTTTTTTTACCAAAACATGTCATGTGGGTACTCAAATTAACCGTAATATTAAGCAGATCACGACTATGCAGGAATTTTTTGGATTCGAGGTCAAATAAGCGAGATTTTCACGTAAATATGCGATGCTATTTTGGATTTTTGCTCTAACTTTTGTCTGTTTTAAAATACCAGCTGATCAGGATCAGCTGGTTATTATTTTATTATAATTGTTTATGTTTTAATTTAACAGGTAAAAGGGATGATACTATGCATAACCTAACTTAACCTAACCTACCCTAACCTAACCAACCTAACCAAACCTAACCTAACCAACCTAACCAACCTAACCTAACCAACCTAACCTAACCAACCTAACCTAACCAAACTAACCTAACCAACCTAACCTAACCAAACTAACCTAACCTAACTTAACCTAACCTAACCTAATCAACCTAACCTAACCTAGCCTAACCTAATCAATCTAACCTAACCTAACCTAACCAACCTAACCTAACCTAACCTAACCAACCTAACCTAACCAACCTAACCTAACCAACCTAACCTAACCTAACCAACCTAACCAAACATAACCTAACCAACCACACCAACCTAACCTAACCTAACCAAACTAACCTAACCAACCTAACCTAACCTAACCTAATCAACCTAACCTAACCTAACCTAACCTAACCAACCTAACCTAACCTAACCAACCTAACCTAACCTAACCTAACGAGCAACATGGCAGTGCTACTACAACCAATGAATAGGTTGGTACTGAAAAATTTCCCAATTTCAAGCATATCTCCCATAATTCTCCCGACTAATTACCCATTATTTTTTACACATTAAATTACAACGATAAACCACGTTAGATGTCTCCCCCACCCAAAACCCCGAATTCCCACCTGTCCCCTAGTGAGTTGGAGTTATTGCTGGTAGTATCACGTTTTCGTGAATATCTCGCTTATTTGACCTCGGATCCAAAAAATTCTTGCATAGTCGTGATCTGCTAAATATTCCGGTTAATTTGAGTACCCACATGACGTGTTTTGTTAAAAAAAATATTTTGGTCGTTTTGGTCGTTTTTCCGCGTTATGGTCGTTTTCCGCGGAAAAAGAACGTCATTTTCGGAATCAGCGTTAAATTTCGAGTAGAATGAAAAAAAATTTCAAAAATCGCGTGCAAACCCTAAAATACATATTAACCGGGACTAGGACTATGATTAGGCCTACTTAATCATAAATGAGCACATTAAGTTATGTTTTCAAAAAATACAAGTTACATTATTGAGTGTCTTGAATAGCATACCTGAATGCTGAATGACTGTTTTTATATAACTGGAATGGGAGTATGACAGCGGCAGTAAACCAAGCCATAAACTATTTTTAGGCTAAGTTATAGCCTACAGCATAGTAATGAATCATTGGGAAAATTTATTGAAATAGTTCCAAATGAAATAAGTGGACTACAGACATTCTTTTGTTTACTATCAGAGAAAGTTGAAAGAATTTGCATGGCAAACTAGGGAGTAAGTTTCGGTAAATTTCAAAATGAATGTTAAGTTATTGAGTGTGTTTTACAGAATGTGTTGGTATCTGGACGCAGAAAAGTGACAACTTCGTTATGAATAGGTTATCAAACTTGTTTAAAAACTTAAAGAAACATTTCAAATTACCACAGTAAATAAACATAACCTCAAACCATCCCAATCCTAATAACAAGCATATCCATGAATATAGTAATAACTAAATTCCATTGTAAAGATTATAGAGTCAGATTAGACGATTTTTAACATTAAGTTATATAATTCGAGCTAGAGAATTACTCACATTTTGATGATTTCATGCTGAATATTACATGTTTAGCACAACTTAACAAACGAATTGACGAACAATATAGCAGAAACAGCTGATTTAGTGATTTAAAAGGGAGACGATCCCTACCACCACTCCCAAGATTATTGATTGTTGCCGTATGAACAAGTGGGTATAGAAAATACGAATAAAAATTCATCGATGTTTAATAAATATAGGATGTAAATTATCTCTAGCAGTGTCAATAATAAAGTATAAATCAAAATTTAAAACTTACTGGGGAAGTTGTTGATTTTGACGTTCCTGTCGTCTGCCTCAGAGAGTAAAGTATCATGTTGTTCTGAAGGCGTACCCGGGCGAGAATATTTTTCTTCTTCTTCTGGTTCATTATCAGCACGATTATCAGATGTAGAAGTCATCACTGGAACCGCGAAAGGTTCTATTTGCTAGAAAAATTCGATCAAAAAACAAAATCACTGCAAATCATGATGTCTCCCCTCAAACACTACTGTGCAAACGTAAAGCGGTGGTAGCGCTCTGAACGTTCGCGTTTCGAACTCAGCAGACGACAGCCAGCGCTACCTAAACGATAACACTCCCCGCTAATTGATAATTTGGAACAGCTGATAGCGCTGCTTTCACTGCCTTATGGATATCAACTGACTTGCGACAGTTTCGGGAACCACGCAATAATCATACATTTTATTTATTGGTCGTCTTTTATACTGCTTTAAACAAAACTAAAACCTAATCAAAACTAGTTCCCCCCTAAACAGTTCTGCAAGGACACCCGGGCGACTGTTACCCAGGTGGCAAATCTCGATTTCTGCATATCTAACGTCCTGAGTGAAGCCAATAATTTGTTACCCCACTCCATTACCTTGACACATCGTAAAATCTAAAATCTCGTCCTTTGCTTCTCACGCCTCTTTCACTTTTAACCGGTTGGTTACAGTCAATTTTGGTTGTGGAATGGCACGGCTTCGGGTGATCCTAACCTTGGAATATCAGCTAAGAACGAAAACAAGGAGCTATGAACAATTTCTATTCAATAAGCTTACAAAAGTAACAGTTTAGGCAACGTGACGAATTTTATTAGACAAAGCATTAAATGTACCAAAAATTTTGATTACGTCAAGAAATTAGGTAAATAAAATTACAGCCACTACTTAAATATGAATTGTTTTATTTATGTTTATTTAAATTAAACAAAAATCTCAAATAAAAATACAGCGTGAGAGAATACCTTTCAAGATTATTTCAAATCTTATTGAAAGATTATTTGAACTACTGTACAGTATTAATATCAATCATTAGAACGTAATTTTGTGAAATCACTATTGTACCTATTATATTATCTGATAGCCCAAAAATAAGGGGTCTATATTGCAATTTAAATTAATAGTAAATATGTATGGATTGGCCTAGGTTTGATGTCTAAATCTAAATCAATACCATTGCACTTCAGCTTAAACAGATATGTGTCTGAATCACGACAGAGCAGTAAAACAATTTACTTTGTTTAACTAACCATAAACACTTAAAAATAATCCCAAACCACAATAAAACTACTTAACTGACATGATAAGCTTTTGTAATTATTTGCACAACAGCATGATTTGTTATTGTATTGAATGTAATTTGTAAAGTGGTTTTGCCGTTGGTTGGTTGGCAAATAAACAGATAAATATACAACTGTTAAACTCAGAACTTCTCTAAATATCTATACTCTAAATACCGTTAGACCTAGTTGGATATGAGTTTTTTTTAAGTTTTTTATACACTCAAAACTACTTTTAAACATTCCTTTACGATATTTATTGCATCAATGTCAACGGATATTATATCAGAAAATGATGGATCGTAAACATAAGCAAATTATCACTGGTTCGAATATACTTATCACCATAATTTCTGATTTAGACATGTTTTACAGTTACATTAAAAATGTATCTCAAACATGTTGGCCTATACGTACTATACTTTCGGACACAGAAACATACTAGTATGTATTCTGTTTTTCGGACCAGTGAAATAATTCGTTTACCATTTACGTTTACGATTAATTCATTTTCCTTGGTAATGGTTTCACTTTACCCATATTTTGGATTCCTGTAGCAAACCTCAAACCTAATGTAAGATCAATGATGGTTTAAGTTTTTACTCGTTTCTTATTCCACTTTAGTTATCCTTTAACTTTAAGTTTTAACTCAGCAGCACTGAAAAAAAGAGTACGTGTCAGTAGCAGCAGCCTATTTTAGCATAATTTTACATTGTGTCGGCCTGTGAAGAACTAGACACGTGAGTCCCCTCATTGTTAGGACATTATTTATTCAAGTAATTTGTTTTTAAACAGAATTGCCAGTTGCAATCTTACTTTTGCCTAGTTAGACACTATAAGTATTTTGAGATTTTACTCACGGCTTTGTAGCCAAGGCGAGGTTGTGTCTTGATCACCCTATTGTCTATCAGTCGCAACCTATTCATCAGTATGAACAACATACAATTTCATAATTGAGTTGAGTGTAGATTGAAATAAGATACCTTATGTACTTAAAGGCCAGCTGTTTCATTAGCCGGGATCATTTTATTATGAGTCCAATGGTCGAAAGCAGCTGGGTCCAGTTTCAAAACAAGGAAAAGCTAACCTTTTCTCAGGATTGAACTGGCAACCTTTTGATTACTATGTGAGCACTATAACATCTGCTACACCGCTAACTAAACGGGAGGTCGCCGGTTCGATTCTGAAAAAAGTCTGTAGCTTGTTGGTTATAAACTGGACCCAGTAATCCTAAATCAATCGGCCCCAAATTCAAGACCATGGCTAAATAAATAGTTGAACTAAAAAAGCTACAAAGCTAGTCTCCTTCACTGTTCATCCTGTTTTCACTTTTCAATGCTATAAGAAATAATTGGCTATATACAAGGTTATCGTATGGATTCACCGTCAAGGTGTAACAAGTGTTCTTGCAGCTCGTGTTGAAATATACAGTCATCGACACATGACAGGAGGTTGATTGATAAGGAAGTCCTTCGAAGATAGGCTACTAGACTGATAAATTTCGTCCGATAAAAACTGTCTAATTTGGACTAGCTTCGTATTTTAGTCATTACGAATCTAACTCAAGGCTAAATATATAAGAAGGAAAAGATTTGTACTTTTGTAATTTCCTGGTATTTTTTGGAACTTTCCATAACGTAGGTAAGAATCCTCCATATAAAATGTTTAGGATTAGTCAAATTTTTCCAAAATGTCCATTACTGCATATTATTGAAAAGTTGTCTACATAGAGTTTGCATCCACTAAGATACAAATTAAGGAAATAAAATATCACATAGAAGGTAAGCACGAAGGGACAGTAACTTAACACATATTAATGGAAAATGATGGGTACTGTAGCCTTCCAAACTACTGAGGTGGTCTTAAAAGAGCAATTTTAATTACCTACCTTTGTAGTTCTTACTTCAGACGTGTTGATCAATTCGTAGCCCATTCGGAATCAAGAAAAATATCCGAAGCCGAAGTCATTTATCTTAGTAACTGACAAGCATAATTGATCAATCCGATCAAACTATCAAGCTAAAACAAACATAAATACCATGGAATAAACAACACTCTAAAATCATAGCCTAGAACCTATGCTAGAACCTAGAGTCTTCGGCTTCGATGTTCAAACCGGCCTCATCCTGTTCCATTTTATATTTAGATTATAACTGAATCATGAAAATATATTACAAGAATTCTGAACAGCATGTGGTTGTTTCAATATTATTTAGTGTCACTTACTGTTTATTTACGTCACATCGCCAGCTGATTGAACCATTGTTGACTACCTATCCGAATTGTTGTTGTCAGCTGATTAACGTTTGTAAAAAAAAGAAATGTTTGTTGAATTATGTTATTCAGCTATTCGTGTCACATAGAGATGGAATGGAGAGTAAATCTCAGTTCCCCCAAGATGTATTCCCCCATTCTTCTAAGCTTGTATCATAGCACAGACTATATTATTTGTGATCATAGTGAGCCTAGGGTAAAGTCGGTAACGCAGTACATTTCATGTTAGTTCCAAACTTTTCCGCATGAGCATGTTAGCGGTTTGATGGGCAAATTCCTTGTTATTTTTACTTTCTCCCCCTATACATAGTGTAAAATGGGGAAATTATTGTTTGCGTATAAACTTTCAGGTTTGAGTTTTGAGCGAATATCCGTTTTTGGTGCCCCTGAACCCAAACAAATGGGTTTTAAAGGGATGTCTGTGTGTGTGGATGTGTACAGAACTACACCTGATTTTGATAAAATTTGGTATGGGTTTTCATTTTTTGGGAATTTTCAATTCTAATAATGATTACCCCATACAACCGCACAAAATAATGGAAAATCGGATTTTACACAAAAACGGCCCGAACGATTCTGATACAATTTAGTATGTTATAGTCATTTGTAATTTAAACAAAATAGTACAAAGAAACCCCATTAGCTTTAAAACGTACGGTTTTAAATTTATTAAAACGTGAATTATTTTCCCACTAAACCCATAAAATAATTAAAAAGTTGTACTTACAAAATTTTCCTGAGTAATTATGATTAATATTTAGAATAATATCGTTCATAAGTAAAAGGAAATTCATTATAAGAATGTCCCTAGCAAAATGGTACAACCCCATTGATGTGAACATTATGTTTTTAAAGTTATTAACATTTTTTTTTAGATTTTCTCCATAACATATTAAATATTGCCGATACAGTTGATTAATCTTTTTATTGCAGCTATTTCTATTGTACAACCCCACAAAAGAATTTATACGGTTGTTGTTGTTATTTTTTATTACCAATGTTAATATTGATTTAATCTACAGTATGTGTGTGAGCCAACCTTTAGCAGCAAACTTAAGTACCTACTCTTAAAAATCAATTTGAATTAAAAAGGAAATAAATCTTACTTTATGGGGTAGGCCCATTATTTTTGTGTAAAATCCTACCAGGTAATATGAAAATTCGTTTAGTCTGTAGATTTGCTGCCACGAGGGTATTTATTGATCTCATTCGGTATCCTTATATTTTCGTATAAATTTACGTTCTTCTCTAAACCTTTGTGTAAGAATTTGTGTGAAGAGTAAGAGTTACCCTAACGGACACATATACTTATAAGAATTTGAACTGATGGTGAATTTGGCCTCTGGAGAGCTCAAAACGAAAAAGAAATTCTGTCCTGGGTCCAGGTCCTACCATGATGAGACCGTAATAGCTTATTTCCTATGTGGGAAATTCGCTGAAATCAGAAACAATGCAAATGTGACAGGCTGTAATGGTACTGTTAAGTGGATAGCAATAGCATGGATCTTGTTATCCTTATATTCATTGTGATCATTTTAGACTAGCAACAGTGCCCGTTGTGGTTAAATACAACGGTCTCTAGTAAAATAATGGTTATGAAATCCATACACCACTCTACTCACTAATATTAATGGTACAGTTTAAGTACATAACATTAGAATCACACATTTAACATAAGGAACACACTTTAAACATAAATGCAAATTGTTAACAACAACATTT